TAATATGTACGAAACAAACTCATTGGTCATCCGGGCGTCTGCCAATCGTGTTCTAGTATTTCTGCCGTTGTTCTGCTTCTGTCTGGGCAGCACGGGTTCTCATTGGCTGGTACGATCGACCTATGGCATGTAGTCCAGAAGCCGTGGCACACACTCGCTTTGCTGACGTCATCCGTGAAACTTGCTTGATCACAGCTGTCCTAAAACGCGTCGCTCAAGAGTTTGCGTCATCTCGCATGTTGAGATTACCACGATTACAGTAGGATATTTGATCTCGGGACGCGTTTTATATGTTAATTGAGGCTGTCCGTGGTTGGTTATATGCATATATGCGCATACATCATCATTAACGAACGAATAAAAATGTCCGATTTGAAGGGATAGTGAAAACCTGTCAGCAACCTGTGATATTAAGTCGATCCTGCTTTTGAAAATTTGAGTACGCGAGAACAACGACGAAACGTTTTGGTTCATTCGCCTCATGTCAACCGTTTTTAGAGCAGTATTCTATTGGTAAATCCTGAATCCAAATTCTGCTTAACTTTACTTTGGAGTTTATTTTGTTTAAAACAACTCCCGAGACAATAGTGGATTTCGTCATAGCGATCGGTTTAAAAGGTCACTTTTCACTGAAATCAGCCAGCATATTCAGAATGAGTTATTTTTATCAGCCATGGTTTGCTATTTGATCGAATAGGATGCCTTATGATCAGATGTTCGGCAAGTAGAAGCAGTTAATCGAATTCTGTCGATGAATTTACAAAGAAGTGGTAGAAAGAGAATTTGGCCATGGGATCCGAACTCCTGACCCCTCATTGTACTGTTAGTTCACGCAAAACATACCTGATAAAAAATTTCTGTTTCAGAAGGTGCAAAAAAATAGACGTTAAAGATCTCGTGCAATATGCAACTAACCGAACTATCAGTTTAGTAAGCACGCTGGAGGTGATCCTCTTCATCGTTATTGTGCAACCATTTTGTGTCACGGACGAATTATACAACTATGAGGTGTGGTTTTGTTTTCCGTAATCTATACGTAACCATAAATGAGATCCGAACACCGGCAACCAAATCAACAGAACGACGATGTAATTCTATCAACTTGCCATCAGTGCATTTTTCTGTTTTTCTATCGATTACTTTGGGCCATCTCAGTACTGAACAGGAAGAACGTGATAAAAAATGTTGATGTGCATCTCACACAAACTTTCCCTGTCCCAATTCTCCAACTAGACACATTGTGTTCAGGTGTTGATCTTATCGTGGCAACGCTTCAAGAGGTCACGTGATCCGCATTTGATGGACGCGCTAATGGCGTAGTCATGATGCTATCGTGTGTTGAAAAACGGTTGCATTTTCCCTACAGAAACTTTCTGTCACATGATTTTGTGCTAGAGCAAGCGTACATAGTGGTCCAGGGTCGGATGCGCATGCCCAGTCAAGAAAAAGCCATCTATCGAACATGGTGGGAGGGGGGGGGCGGAATCACATAGACAATATGTCCAGAAGCTGTGTCAAGGTGCTAAAGTTGGACGCCCGCTCCAAGTAATAGTAACTTGCTTTTTTAATTGAACACCAAAGAGACATGATAGTTTGTCACGGTATTATTTTACATTCTCGATCACATTCTCGTTATAATAAAAGTTAAGAAGTAGAACCTTCGCATCTAAAATTTTCACTCGACTACTGCAATAACTTCCGAAATGGTTAATGTGCTTCACTTAGAAGTGGAAATACTGTGAAATCCCAATGATGGGGAATGCGGAACTTCTGTCGCCGGATCTAGCACAAATCAGATACCAAACTAAGATATCCTAAAATAACCGAAGGGAGTTCGTAACTCATTTTCCGTTCACTGTCTGCCAAGTAATACGAAGACTCACCACCACCACCACCGCACGGCCCCAGTCATTCGATGATGAACATTATCTTCCTAGGTTTGTCAACTGTCTAGTTTTCTGGATGGGCCATAATGATACATTATTCAGATATCCTGATGTGGAAACTACACCTTTTCCCATCAAGCTTTAGCCAAAACCCGCAATCCTTTAGCCAAAACCCACGTTCCTCTAGCCTTGACCTACATTCCTTTAG